AACTGTCTTGCGATAGTCGAATTTTTAATTGGCTGCGAAACAATCGACAATCACACAACAATCTTGCGATAGTTTAGTCATAGGTGTGCGACCGCTCGAAGGATTACAGACACATCTAGTTTACAAACAAACCACTCAACTCAGTAAAGAACGCTAATCTAATCTAATAAATGAACCGTACAAATATTAATCTCCATTTAAATTATACGCATAGTAACAGGAGTTTTTCATTCAACAAATGATTTTTTTTCAATTGTAATTCTTGTGATATGTTAAAATTAATTAAACAGATGCTCTCAACAGTTGATTTTTAATAAGGAACTCATTAAGATACGACCAGTATAAAAATATTCCAAGTATTTGTTGAGATATTATCTTCATTCATTATTATGAACTCGAGAAATAATATTGCTTTAATAAAAAAAAAACTTTATTTGTTCTAATAGTATTGGCAACACAGACTTGACCTAACTAAAGATTAATGGGAAAATATGCATAAAATGAGAGTAACAACATCATCACCATCACCATCACCATCATCATCATCGTCATCATCACGACAGCCTGTCTGCGCACTGCTGGACTTCCTTAATGATTTCCCACGTGTTTTACGAGTTCGATACAACGTTCTTTCATCCTTACAAGATCATTAGTCGATGTGTTTTTTATGAAAATGTATTTTTAAACCTTTGTGAAATTAGGGGAAGGGACGCAATTCTTATAAAATGTTTTAATATTTCTCTCTGATATCTCAGATTTATATTCAATACGCATGAATTAAACTTGGTAACGTTAAATTTGGGTCTTCCGTGTTTCAAATAATTCTTTTTGTAAGTTATTTTTGTATTAATTTAATATGTTTCATGATGACATTAACATTTTTTTTTACAGGAAATCTCCAAATTATATTACTTTGTCCAAATATTTTATTAAATTGTTTACATTGCTTTTTGTATATTTCTTTTCTAGATTGGGCAATGATAATTTGGTTATGTTTTTGTTAGAATTTTATCATTATCATGTCTTATTAGACGTTATTTTCCTCTTCAATATTTATGTAAACAGAGAAAAAAGAGTAGAAATATGGGTGTTCGATAATGGTCTGTTGACCCATTAATGCACAAGCCTCTCTTTTATTGTAACTGGACGCAAACATGGCGGTGTTTAGGCGTTCAACTAAATATTTGTGGGCACATATGTCGTGTGCAAATAATTTGTGGTTTCGAAGTTGCTAAATGCAATGTAATTAACTTTGCTATAAAGGGTTACCACTATTTTAGAAATATGAAGTCATGCGGTTGCAAGATATTGCGCTCTTGGACGCCTTTGACGCCTTTGATGCTTTCCTAGTACTACGTAACTCGGGGAACTAATTTACTTTGACAAAGGACCTAACGTTTCCAATTAGCCGTTTCCTCAGTTCACATTGCATTACCATATAGCCTTAGCAGAAATTAGCTTTTCCATATTGTGGAGAAATCTTACTAATGATATAAATGCGAAAGTTTAGACGGATGGATGTTTGTTAGATTTTGTAGTCTAAACTGCTTAACGGTTCTCGATGAAATTTGGCATATTTGTAGTCAGGAAGAACACAAAGGCTACCACTTTAATTTTTTTAAATACCACGCGAACGCAGTCGCGGGCAAAAGCTAGTATGGGAAAAATGTATTTGTGTTTAGTAGATAAATGTAATAAATACAGGCCAGGATTTTTATATTCTTGGTTAAACTATAAATATTTTATAGCAAACTTTTCAGATGTTTACAGGTAAATAAAATTTAATTTTAGCTGAATAACGTGTGTTGCAGCAAAACCAATCTTGTAAAGGTAGAAAATTTAATCGAAGTTCAAAGTGACAGTTTCAATTTGTTATAGTAAATACCGTTGGGAAATAATTTTGTTATATCCTGATTTAGGCGGCAATGCAAGTAAAGTGACATGTAATATTTTATCGATTTTCCTTACGGTTAGTGCCAACTACCAGCGCCCCTTTCTCTATACTGATATTATAAAGAAATATTGCATTCATGTATGTGTTGGAGTAACTAAAAAATTAACACGCCGACTTCAATTTTTTTTTATAATAGAAGGTGGCAAACGAGTAAGCGGCCACCTGAATCCACCGAAATGGACAGCGACCGCTCCTCATAGACATCCGCAATTGCAGATGCATTGCCTACCCTTAATTGACGGAGGAGGAGACGCACATAAAGCGGACACACATAACGCATATAATTCTGGAAAATTATTAAACCGAATTTGATAAACGTTACAAAGTATAATTTGTTTAATCTAACTTAAAACTAGCTTTCACCCCGACTCCGTTTGCGTGAAATATACAAAAATATATAACCTATGTGTTGTTGCAGACTATCTTGTACATCTAGGTATGCGAAATATCGAGATCCGTACAGTAGCATCTAAACTATCGGATTTATATTAGTATGATTATTAGGTTTTACTTAGTATTGTTTTTCATTGAACAGCTTACCCTTAGAAAGTCGGGTTATTTTGCTAATTTTACTAATATTATAAATGCAAATTTTATATGGAAGGTTGGAAGTTTGTTAGAGTTTGTAGCCTAAACGGTTGAACAGATCTGGATGAAATTTCGCATAGACGTAGAGGATAGTCAGAAAGAACACATAGGCACTTTTTTTTAATTGCACGCGGCTACAGTCGCGGGTGTAAGCTAGTGTATTTATAACGCATAAATTGCCTACATTTTGGTTTGATTTTCAAATTGCGGAGAAATAATCTCCTCTTACAATAATAACCTTATGACAAAATGACAAAAAAAATATCTTGTTTTTCTTCTCCATAAATCTCTTTAACATGAAACATTTTATTGAAGACGACGGTTTTTATAAATCGAACACATGGGGAAGTATTATCAAAGTTCGAAGGGAAATTTCCTATGAGGAAAGTTCGGGAATAAATATCAAATAGAGTACAAAGTCACCATCTGTTCGATAGATATTTGGAAATGTATAATGAAATAAGGAAATACAAGAAAAGGGTTACCAATATGTAGGATAAAGAGGTTGGATATGTTTTCTTTTTAATCTATTTATTTTTATATTTTGACGTTCTTTTTTTAAATTAGTTTGAGTCGGAGAAAAGAAGAAAAAGAGGAACGACGATGTATGACGATGAGTTTTTTTTTGGAGTTTGTAAATATTATAAGTAGCAGTAAAGACCGAATTCTTTTTATTTCAACTAGTCGAGTACCTTAATTATACGTTTTGTTTATATCGTCCCTGTTTTTAGTGGATTTCTGAGACGAAGACTCACTTCCCAGGGGAATTCTGGGTTTTTATTCCTTATTTAGGGTAAATGAAATAATAAAACACTGATTAAGAATTCGGATTTTTAATGGTCGAAAAATATGTAACATTTTACAAAAATAATAGGTTTAAAGCTTACTAAATACATTAAAATGATAATATTTACATAGATTTGATAATTACCCGTTTAAACGTTATCTAGGATAAATATCTATAAAGTTTGGTAATTATCTAACAAGCGATTTATCGAAATTTTAACACAAGGTTATTAAACGATTGAAGTTTACAGTTTTATAAATAAATGTCAACCTAAAATATTAAAATTAAAAAATAAACTTTCGTGAGACATTATTAAAACGAGTTATTTATCGGCCATTTTTCCGGTAGCGTCGCCGACAAGTTTCGCACGCGAGGCTCAACACGGCCGCGAAACAATCCCAGTAACATTCGCCCTAAAGATGGACCCCCGAGTCGGTGCCGCCACCGGAATAATAGAGGTGAGTAATAGCCATTAAAGTTATAATAATTGATTAAGTTAAAAACATTTACATTTATACATTAATCAAAACGTGAACACTTAATAAATAAACACTTATTTACAAATACAATTTCACAGTAAGCATTAAAATAATAAAGAGCAATCTTCTTTCAATAACAGTTACTAATTTATAAGGTCCGTAACAGAACACGAGATAGGCGTATCTTAAATTCTAATGGAACATTCTAGAGCCGAACCTTCTGGAAAAAGATACATCTATCTCTGTATATATACATCTGTCTTCGAGATTTTTTCATAATAAAAGGAGAAAAATATGAATACAACAGCTTAAATAATTGACATATACATTTAGTACGACATAAATATTCTGTTTAATTTTTTTTATCTTAATTCTAGTTTTATCAATAAAATATTAATTATTAAAATTACGTTGAACACGAGTTTTATACACCATGTTATAATTTACGTGTTAATGTTAAATTATATTTTAATATAATATATTAATTTTGTTTCATTAAATAGTGATTTTTTAAAATTTAAAATACGAATTAAAGTTTAACAACACTGAGCATCAGTTACGAAATTCCAAGAATTATTTAATAATCCGTTAAGTTTTATATTAAGGTTACTTTATTTACACTTTGCGGCCGTGGATGAAAGCTGTAACAATTAAAAAAAATAAGTGACTTAACAACGCTAAAGAAAATATATAGTAAAAGTTACCTAAAAGCTGTTTTCAAGCAGCAATATTCTATCTGCCAGTAATAAGCAATGATAAAAATACTTTCGGTTCGAATAGCAAAATTAGCGTCTAAGACGATATGGTTTTAAAGGGCAGTAGATCTTAATGTAATGCTTAAGTGCTAAAGCGTTTCTTGGAACACCGATTAGCCGCCGATCTGTAGCCCGGCGCAGATACCGCTGGCTTTACGCCGTAGAACTGGACCTGCGCGAGCTAGAATAAATCGACTGGCAGGCGAAGACGCAGGACAGACGACGTTAGCGCTCTTACGCCTAAGACTCACTGTAAGTAAGAAAGATTTTAGTAACTCACCATCGTAGCACGTTCGATGCGGACAGCGAGGGCACGGAGGGTAGCTAGCAAGCGAACTCTGTCTCTGCGAGTGCGGGCCGAGGTCCGGCCGACACCACGACCGCTGCCATACGACCGCTGTACTTCCTCTTGATGCGTTGTGTTCCTCTATACCTGTACCATCGAACACTTCACGGGAATTATTTCGATTATATTACAACCGGAATAGCTTACTTCCTATTATTTATATACTAAAAAGAAATTCAATTTCAGTGATGATAAAAAAGGAATTTTACAATCATTTCAAAACTCAAGTGCAGAATGGACACAACGGTATGCTCAATTAATTAAAGCTTGGCAAAAAAGACAAATATATAATTATTATGTACACATATGTTCGTATTAATATTGTCGCATCAACGAGTCGCACGTATTTGTCGCTTAATCGCGTCAAATAACTGCGCTGACCTAGGGAAGTCTTTGGGGATTATCCAGTTAGCTGGCGTTGTATGCTAGTTTACGCTTAGCTTATTTCCTTTGACAAACAGTGAGGTTACAATTTGAAGTGTTATCTTGTTATCTGGTTGTAAAGCTTACAAATGTTTAAGACAAAGACGGATACGCTATTGCATTTTGTTATCAACACAAACGTGTTTTTGTTTATCAAAGCGTATTAGATACAATGCTAAATTCCAATTTACTTTATTCATTACTAGCTGTTGCTCGCGACTACGCCCGCGTGGAATTAAAACAAAACTACGTTACTCACAGATAAATTACCTTTCTAACGGTGAAAAAAATTTAAATCGGCCCTGTATTTTTTGAGTTGTTTCAATATATACAAAAATACAAATCTTTCCTGTTTAAATTATTAAGATAGTATAAGTAATATAGATCGTTTGATTATTAAAAAACAAGTGACTGTAAATGTTAGTTATTTCCTTTGTATTATTAATTTGTATCCTTAATAAGATTGTTTCGTAACTCCCATAACGTCGGATTACTGACCAAAGCTCAATTTATTACTTGTATCCTTTACGTCGTAGTTCCGTAATACGAGAAGATCCTCGGGTACAAGGATAACATTTAATGTGGAATCACATTGAAATAGGATTTTATACGACGCTATATTTCATTTTCCAATTTTTTTCTTTATAACATAAGGTGGCAAACAAACAAGTTGCCACCTGAATCCGCCAAAGTGGCGAAGTGCCCGCTGCCTATAGACATCCGCAATTACAGATGCGTTGCCTACCCATATACGACGGAGGAGAAGACGCACATAAAGAGGATATTTCCCCTTCCTATGCATCTCCTCCACCGTCAAACCCACTTCCCTTCGCATCCACTCTTTGTAAGAAAAGGGTAGTAAAGAGGAAGGGACTTCAATTAGGCCTCCGGCACCACACTCATCTGACGAAACACGGAATTTCTTCCATTTCAGGCCTGTCTTCTGTGTGGTCGTGGTATTACACCGGGCGTGCCGGCCCATTCGTGCTAAGAAAATTTTCCAAAATTCAGTTACTCTTTTATAATATGACAATTTTAATTGCAAACACCTTTCGGATATTCGGATAGGATGACAATATATTTTTGGCAAGAAGGGCATTTGTAATTATTGAAAGGAATTAAAACCCTCTGAATTTAATGACGTCACAAGTTTATGAATATATGAATGATATCGTTTATCATTTTGAATAATAATTACGTTAACGAGTAAAAACCTGATCGGGATCGACTGCCCGACTGCGAGACGCAGTCCGGAGGGGAGTCGGGCAGCGGCCGCTTGCGTCGGAAGCACGTGTCTCGCCATCTGCACAGGATCGCCGTGCGGAAATACGATCTGAACCTAACAGGAAAATATAGACAAGGCAATTAGTAATAAAATATCATTTATCCGATTATTCCAAATATAAGTACGAATGTAATATTTATATGATACACTCTTGATTATGACAAAGCGTAGGTTATCGCAACAAGACATTTAAAAATATGTAGACGAGACATATGGAAGATTTTTTTTCACCGAAACTCTCTGAAAGGTAATCTGTAATAAGTTTAATACGCCGCCATGTTTCTTTATATTGAGATGTAATAAAACATTAAAAAATAGATATAATTAATTTAAGTATGTTGACATGTGGTTTTGAGAATCTATCAGTAGACGCCTTAGTCATGATTATCTGAAACATGGTTCAAGTGAAGTGTCAACTATGCCTCCTCTATATATTTGAATCTCTTTGGTCGTAACGGAGTATACAGACCTAGCTTTGATCACTTACTTTGCGTTCATCCAGTAATAGATTATGGGATTAACCATCGCATTTGCCATCGCCAGCCAGTAGAAGCCGAGGTACATGTGCTGGACGTATTTCATGTACAATATGGAAGGATTGAAGTGCGTGTAGATGAAGTACGAATGGTACGGCAACCAGCAAATGCCGAAGATCACGATCACAAGAATAAACATCTTTACCACCTGTAAAGGAAAGTCTATATAATATTTAAAAAACGATGGATTTAAAGAAGAAAATGTTAAGATGGATGTGTGGTGTAACAAGAATGGACAAAGTTAAGAATGTGTACATTAGAAGAAGTTTGAAAGTAGCGCCAATGGTGGAGAAATTGAAAAGCAAAAAGTGTGGTATGGACATGTTATGCGACGAGACGATGGAGATATAAACCAGGAAGTGTTAAGATTGAATGTGGATGGCTACAAAGGTAGAGAAGGACCTGAGAAAGCATGGACGGATTGAGTGAAAGAGGATATGCTTAAGAAAGGAGTGGATTCAGATATGACAGCTGATAGAGATGTACGGAAGAGCAGCACATACTGTGCCGACCCTCCGTAAGGGTTAATGTTACACATACCTTCCGTTTTGACCGTATAGAATCCAATTGCCGTTGTGTGAGTTCGCCGATAGACCGTGAGCCCCAAAGCACGCGGCCCATCGCCGAGTAGAAGAACGTCATGCCCAACATTGGTACAGCGTACGTCACAACGAAGAATAGAACTTGATATCTATACACACGCAAATATGATTGCTGACTATAATTTGTTTTTTGATTCAAATAAGGTGCATATATTCGACCTCTTTAGACAAGGAGTTTGCATAATACAAAAAAGGTACTGGCTACCAAGAATATTACGCATTAAATACCGTAAAAGAAAGATAGATATAAGAGAATCGCGCACGCCTTAATTGCGTTGATACAGGAAATTAACTTGTTAATGTGATAAATGTTTGGAAATCGTGTTTTAATATTAATTAAAATGTTTAAAATATAGAATTTTTGATTTATAAACTTGCATAACATTGTCCATCCAATTTCATGTAACGCAGTTAAAGTAAACATGTCGTTAATTTTGTTTGTAAGTACTTTACGTATTTGTGATTCGACGTAATTAAATCGACTTTAGCTATTAATCATTGGCCAAATTCATTGCTTACTATCACAAAACAAAATTAGCTTGCTACTATCTGTTTTAATTACGAAAAATCAGTAAGAGTTTTGTAACTACGGGCTTTCAGTGCAATAACATTTAATGTTCTTGTCTCTTTTGGTACAGAGAATGAGACAGTTGAATATCTATACTATTATAATAAAGCGTAAACACACACTTCTTTGTTGCCCAAGATGTCAGCAATTACAGCATATTTTTAAATAATTCATTTTTTAATAAAAAGCCTTACACTTACGTTATGCTTTAGGCTATATATTTCCACGCCATTAAACATAGGGGTAAATATTTTGGATAAAAACCTTAATGTAGGAAAGAGACCATAAGTTGCTGCCAACATCAAGGAAGCAAGATTGCCAAGGTTTGTCATGTCATGTCATTTCGACATTTGCTATTGATAATTTGACAAATGTAAACAATAAATCAAAATGTTCATAATTTCATGCGGACGAAGCCGCACGGGAACAGCTAGTACAACAATAAGAATAAACACTCATAGATTTATAGTATAATATTCAAACATTACCAACTACAAATATTATTAAGTTTAAATATTTGTAGTTTTTGTATGTAGCAGAAATATTACACAAGAGACTTTTTTTTCAATTCCGTTTAGACAAAGTCTCGGGCTAACGCTAGTTAGATAATATAAAGAGAACAAGCATCTATTAGTGAACAAAAGTACTTACATAAAATCCATATAAGAAACATCGGGTAATCCGTCAGGCCAGGACAGTAAGCAAGCGGTTTTCAAAGTTCCTTTTGACCTACAGAATAAATAATAGATTGCAATTTTGAAAACGTGCTAAACATTAAAAAAACAACTATAGTAATCAACTCTACGAAATAGAATATACGTAAGAGAGATGTTCAGAAAATGGGTAACAGAGTATTAAAACGACATACTGTGCTGATCCCTCATAGGGATATTTGAATGACATTTGGTCGAAATTTTAAATGATTGGTTTTACCCAAAAACTCAAGAGTCCTTTAATTACCTTACGTCATTACTAACGTTAAAAGACACCAATGACCTCAATGGTCCCTATCCCTCGTCTCTAACGATCATTACTAAATAAATGACAATCTAATTTTCTTTTGATGATTTTACTGTGTAATAAGGAAGAAATATTTCTTGAAATACGAATGACTTCTAGAAGTTTCCAATCGATTGTTTCAAGGACGAACGTTCGTTACCTTCAAATATAATTGCAATTTATAAAACTTCAAGTAGTAGCAAATAATATTTGTATTTTGTATTGTTTTTAAAATGCAGGTTTTTGTATTTTGTTTAAAATAAGAATAGTTGATTGATTAAACTATGGCACAACTATTGTGATTTGTCGATTGTTTCGCAGCCAATTCAACTATTTAGTTGCACAACTAAAAATCGATTAGTCCCCTTACCTCCATATCAAAAAAACAAAAGACGCAAAAAAAAACAGTTATGCGATAGTTTTGTCAAATGTGTGCGCGCGCTCAGTAGTTTTAAAACTAGATTCTTCATTTAAAAGAACGAAATAATAGTATTGAGCGATTCAAATATCTTGGCGGTTCAAAACATCATATAAGTCGATACGAAATAAAATTATTTTAGGTTCAACGGGACGTCAAAAGTTGGGGGCATTGCACAACGCACATGATTTGAGCCGGCAAATAAATTGAAACGGCCTATACTTATTTCGGTGATTTTCTCATTCTTGTTGCGTTGTACTTACCGATATTCTTTAGTTGTTGAATACAATAAGCAGGGTATAGCAAGAAGCATCCCACTTATCCATATGACAGCAATCATGATCAAGGAACAAGTTTTGGACATCCGTGGTCGCATCGGCCTCACGATAGCTTGGTACCTGTACAAAATTTAAAAGTATTCAATTTTAAAAGAGATAATTACAGCAAAGTTAATTTTTTCCTGAAGTTCAATGAAAGAACAGTCACTTGAATAAACATTCTTTAATCGCTTGTATTCGGGACCGTATAAACGAATTTGTCGGAACATGTTTTACTAAACGTATTCACATTTCTAAAGTGTAAAAGGTCGTGTTACGACATATCGTATTCGTCGTAATATATCTGAACTACAGTTCACACGATAATGGAACTGCGGGATGCGAACCCACGAATTGCTATGCATATTGTGGGCAATGAGTATTTGAACCTTAGGCTATTGGCGCTTAATTCGCGTTGGCGTTGCTTTTAACATCATAAACACAATACTGTCTTACCTATCAAAAGAAATGCCTGTCAATGTGAACACGCTGGCAGCGACAGTGACGTTGGCTATGAAGTTACTTAGCTGACAATACCGCACTCCAAACACCCAGTCACTAAACAAAAGCATTACAGCTCTCAGTGTAATATCTATAGAATAATCCAAATAAAAGCCAGAAGACAAAGTTGTGAATGAATTAAATTATTCAAAGAAGGGTCCATTACGACGAATAAATTCCACAGTTAAGAGACATTAATTGAAAGAGACAAATATTTAGCTTTTGTTCTTAAAATTATATGCTTACTGTGGAAATTAAAATAAAAGTTATAAAATAAGAAAACGTTAAAAAATGTTCTTATCACCTAAGACATTGTGCATAAAAATCTAGAATAGCAAATAAGAGTGAAGTATTAACGTATTAAAACTAAAACAAAAGAAAAACATTAAAGTACCCTTGAAAACTTTGGCCAATTAAAAAAAAATATAGTTCAATTGAAAGTTTGGATAGATTCTTTTAAAAAGTAACCAATGGACAATCATTTTGTAATTAACTAATGGTGACCTTATTCAATTAATGACAGCCTTAAGGTTTTTCAACTCAAGTCTATTATTATGAACGATTTTAGATCAATTAGCGGCTCAGACATCTTAAATCATTTAATATTTTCCACTTCAATTTGTTCACTTTTGGAGAAATCGTTTGAAGTTTAAGTAATTCAAACGCTTTATATGGTAACTGTTCTTAAAATTGTATGTATTAATTACAATAACACGTTTATATTTAAACAAAAAAAAATATAAAAAATCAACAAAATTAAGATATCCATTAACAACATAATTAATTACGCCGTTGAAATGCAACGTAAAATGAATTTACGATCCAACCTTTCAGCCTGATATTATTTTCCATTGAGTATCGGCTGAAATACCCACACATAACAATATTCTTAGTTAATTAATTCTTTTAAAAATAACTAGTATGGTAACTTACCTATGTAACATGTATATGAAATTGAACAGACAATTAAGTGATGCCATCATCAGGTCAGCAAACGACAGGTTTACCAGGAAATAATTCGTCACCGTTCGCATTCTCCTGTGTGCTGTTTGAATAAAATTAAAAAATCCATCAAGCATCAAGAAGCTAAAAAACTAATATAATTACGTGGATTTGGTCAAAGAAAATTTAATTAACGTTCTCAATGAGCTTGTTCGATTCATTCTATTAAAAATAATCCATCCATATAAGGACTAAATGAAAGCATACTTTGTAAATCACATTAATTTTAAAAGTCTAATTTATTTACTATAGTAAAATCTATTCAAAATTAAGATTGACATATCAGAGCTGCAAATACAACTCAAACTGTACCTGTAACAATCCAAATAACAATAGCGTTCCCTCCGATAGCGACAGCTAGCATGGCAGCGAAGAGACACACCCAAGAGTTGTGAGCCCATAACGGCATTGTGACAGAGGTAGCCGGGGTAGGCGCGGCGGGCTTAGGCACGAGTATGGTGGACGCCCCCAACGTGCTGCGGTTGAAATCCATCTCCCACGTGTACACGACCTAAAGTACTAACTGTTAATAATCATACGAATATTATAAACTAAAAATAAATATACCTTCATTTTCTTCCAAGTTTGATAAATTAACCTATTTTACTAATATAACCTAAACTGCTGAACAGATCTCGACGAAATTTGCCATAAATGTAGAGCATAGTTTGGAAGAACACATAGACCACTTAGCTTCTTTTTTTTTTAATTACACGTGGACTTAGTAACGGACAAGCTAGCATAATAAAATTGTAAGAGTTGTAGTTACGCGATTTTAATCTCTGAGACGTTTTGCCATATAAAAATTAGATTGATATTCGAAAATTGAGTGTTTATTATCAACGATAGAAAAAACTCTATAAACAAATAAAAAACAAAGATTCAGTTAACATTTAACATGGCAGCAAAAGTAATCGAATGTCCAAACAATCGACAGATAAAATAATACAAAGAAAAATAAATGAAGCAATTGAATTATTTTAGATGTTGCATGAATTTCAACTAGGCTTTAAAATTGTTGAAACAGAATGCAATCAATGACATTTGTTTTCAAGCAATATCTGTGCAGTAATGAATAGGTCTTTGCTTGAAAATGAGAGCTTTTCGTTCTAATTTAAACACACCTGTTAATGTGAGACTGTTAATTGTATCTCTTTTATTAGTTCCAATTTACATCACCACCAATAATTAGGAGTCAGTGTTAATATGGCGAAAAACAAATAGACAAAATATTACATATGATCTTACTTCTTACTAATATTATAAATGCGAAAGTTTAGATGGATGAATTGATGGATGGATGGATGTTTGTTAGAGTTTGTAGCCTCAACGGCTGAACGGATTTCGATGAAATTTGGCATAGATGTAGAGAATAGCCTGGAAGAACACATAGGCTACTTGCATTTGCTTTTTTTTAATTCCACGCGAATGGAATCGCGAGCGAAAGCTAGTATTCTATAAAGATCAGTGTATTGATACAAAGTATTATCTACAACACTCTTTGAAAAACAAAGATGTGAATGAATGATTATTACCACGTCATTCTTGAACGAATCTGGGCGAGGAAGCGTTACCAAATAATTAAGTTTCCTTTTAATCTCGCGCAGATAGACTAACAAGCGACAGTAAGTCACAGCAGTAAATACAATTTATTTATTACCTCAACGTTTTGCATAGTGTGGTCTTTAAAGTTGTAGCGCGTAGAACTTCTCTCTATTCAAAGTTATGTTGAGCATGCCGTCCATTTCTCCTTAGAATTTACTTTCCTCGTCTCCATTAATGAGCCTGTATTAAGAAAACTCGACCATTAACTTCTCCAAACGTTCAACTTTTCTGAATGAAAAAACTTTTCTCCACAATTTACTTTTACTTTACAAAAAAACTAGTTTCGTAACACGATTGTATGTGATAGGTAAAACAAAAGAAACATTTAAAAAGGTCATTTGATAACCTCATAGTTAATGAAAAAATAAACCTTCTATGACAAAATATAAAACAGAAAATAAACTTTCGAATTCTTTGTCAAATCTTTTTGACAATTTTTTTATAAGTATGGAGTTATTAACTTAAAGAAAATTAATCGTTTGTCGGATGCCTAATTTGACTTTACATAACCTATTTCCTGTATTTGAAAATAAATGTATCAATATTCGTTGAATTTTCGATAAGCTGTCTACGATATGAATTTAAAATGATTTTATGTGTCGCCAAATATAGAATCTTCCTTTGAATTCGTATTGAATCAATAGCTTAATATTGAAACATGATACAATTTCTGGCAACTCTGTATTGACACATAGAACAATACAAACAGTATTAAAACTTGGTACTATCGATATTCTCGAATGAAATATATTATTATCGCATATAATACGCCAATAGACTAATGGTTATGGGTACGGACTACCGATCTTGCTGTCGAGCGTTCGAATCCCGCCATTCGACTATTATCGTAAACTCTATCGTAACACAAGCCTAGAGCTTAGTTGGAATGGTGAAAGGTAATGTTAGTAAATTAACAAAATGCTACTAATCATACTAATGTTATAAATGTGAAAGTTTAGATGGATGGATGGATGTTTGTTAGAGGTTGTAGCCTAAATGGCTGAACGGATTTCAATTAAATTTGGCATAGATGTCGACGATACACTGGAAGAACACATAGGCTACTCGTTTTGTTTTTTTAAATTCCATGCTGACGGAGTCGCGGGCGAAAGCTAGTATTTTTAATAAAAAACGTAATAATATAACATGAAAAATTAGAAAACAACATATTGTTATATTTGTATTGTATTTTCGTAGTGAAATTTTATCATTATACGTAAAATAACTTTAGTAATATTACAATAAAAGAATAATACTTAATGCCCTTGAAGATAAACTCAATCAAATAGGATCCAGAATTAATTGTATTCCTATGGGACAAGAACGCGTACAAGGAAAGAAATTGGAAAAATACAAGCACTTTCATAACATTACATTAAGAATATAACACGCTAAAATATTTTTAACAGGAAAAAATCTGTATTAATTGACGCACGAAAACAAATCAGATAAGAAGTCATCATTATATTATAAACATAAATAAAAAGTTCCACGTAGATCAACTACTTAGTTAAGCAACTAAGTTACCATTAATACACTTTTCAAAGTAACTAACGAACTATTCTTTCAACTCTCAATTATGAATGAACTTCAACGATCCTAATACCACACTTCTGACTTCACTTACTAAAACATCCATGTCCTTGTATAAAATAAAAGACAATCGAATATCAAGCAGGTTTATTAAATTATAAGTAATTAATTTAATTAATTATTAAAAACTCAAATATGTTTTCCATTTTTATTAAAAAAATAAAAGTAAAGAGACTCTTTATTAAAAAAAAAGTAACGTCGTTATTTCTGGCATTTTTCTACTCCCAACTAACCAAACTGCGCGACCTCGAAGGTCTTTCAAAATCCGCAACCCTTTTGTCTTTGCGAATTTCGTTCATAAAGTCAAGTATTACATCGTTACGTTATTTAAAGGTATATTGCGTGTTCGACATAGACGGGGTCATGTCATCCGTCTATATAAACTCTGTCGTAACTTTTAATTATGATGTACTAGCTTACTCTAGAATTTCAAAAAGTAAGTAACCTATATGTTCTAACAGACTATCCTCTACATCTTTGCTAAATTTTATTGAGATCGGTTCAGCAAATTAGGCATATAACCTCTAACAAACATCCATTCATCCATCCAAATTTTCGCAATTATAATATTAGTCCTTTCTCACACAGCCGTATAGGTAATAAAAGGAAATCCTAGCACGTTAAAGTTCTAGACTTTTATTTATAGTAATATAGTTTTATAGATTATTCGAAATCACTTAAATGTAATAAAGATAAAATGTTTACCCTCATCTGCATCGATGTACGCAAACTACTCGAAGCTGTCGATACCTACTGCTTGACGCAGTCTATTTACTTCTGCTTTAACACGTTCAATGCTAAACCAGGTCTAAAACACCTGGTATCTTACTTACAGTGCGAATAAGAAATGTATATAACATATACAGGGTGTGCTACACCAAGTACTGAAAGATTAGAAAAATCTATGGCGCTTTAAACGTGTTAACAGATTTATGGAATGTCCCACCACTGGCTGTTAGAGGCTCAGATAGCTTAAAAATGACGTCACTGCCATTTAAGGTAACAAAATCCGATATTCCGATATTTTACACGTTGGGTTGGCACCAGACAATCGACATTTTTGCTTTATTTCTTATACATTTTTGCGAGGCTTTAAAGCGTACTTTATGGTTTACATTAACACCTATCCGCAACAAGGGTCATAATTTTCATACAACGATATGCAAGTTATGTCCCGGAAAAGGGACCGTAAAGTAAACTTTTTACGTTAAGGTCTATTCAACGAATCTGCACATGAATGATGATGTATTATATATTTTTTTATTATTATGAAAGCTAAAGGTCAGATGTATCCTTCGTAGTGTTTTAACGTATAAAATCTAAAATAACATTACCTCTCAAGACCTTTTATCTGGGAGAAACGAGAACATTCAATAATGCAAAATTATGTAGTAACTAGTTGTCGCCCGCGACTCCGTCCGCGTAGAATAATAAAAAAAAACAAATGTAAGTAGCCTATGTGTTCTTCCAGACAATCCTCAACATCTATACCAAATTTCATCGAAATCTGTTCAACCGTTTTGGCTACAAACTCTAACAAACATCCATCCATCCATCCATACATCCATCTAAACCAAACTAAACCTTTGCATTTGTATTATTATTATGATCTCTCCAGTAAATTAAGGGACTATCTATCAATGTACACTAAAATCTTCCAAAATCAATTTAGTGAATAAAAAAAAACTCAAAACTGCTATTACGATTTGACGATTCTGTGGCATTGAAGAATTAAAGGTAACCTAGCTAAAAGTAACCACAGTTCAGATATTTCTCTTACAAATATTGTAAATGCGAAAGTTTAGACCAATGTTTGTAAGAGTTTGTAGCCTAAACTGCCGAACGGATCTCGATGAAATTTGCCACAGATGTAGAGGATAGTCTGACACATAGGTTACTTACTTTTGTTTTTTTTAATTGCACGTAGATAGAGTAGTAGGTGAAAGCTAATTTGTCTTATAAAGTAGATCAATGAAAGTTTTAGATAAGCAGAGCAACCTAGATCGATAAATCCATTTAAGCAATGGTTATTTATAATCGACTTGCGGTAATTTGCAGGAATTCTGGTTTACGTTACAGGGACATAGGAGAATATTAAATTAAATCCAGTTTCACTCGTTGGTTTTAATTTGATTAAAACAAACTTTAATATTTCCCTGCAATTTTTAATTGCAACATAAATAAATAATGTTTTCCCTATAAGAATTTTTTTCCTTATACATAATCTGATTATACTTAAAGTTATCAGGTAATTATGACGTAAAGTTGATAACAGCTTTAGAAATTTTACTTCAATTAGTTTTTTAAAAGCTTGCATTATTTAAAAATAAAGTTCTGGAACAATCTCATTCACAGCAAATAACTAATACAGCCGCAAATTGATGTTCCTAGGATAAATCTTTAACAAATCAAATAAATACATATTTCATATCAATTATTTCATTCCTCAAGCTCGAAAAAATGTAATACAAACTTACCTTAATTTTTTTCAATGAAAACAACTTCAAAGTTCACAAACTTATTTTAAATCGTTTCTGTATTCACAATCACTAAAATTAAACAACACAATAATGTAATGTTTCCTACATTATTCGGTAATAATTAAACAACACTTCGATAACTATTAACATGCACTAACGACAACACGACCGTCTGCCGGCTGAAAGTGAAACGAACTGAGAGCTTCCAGCAAAAGCTTTCACAGCTACCGGTGTGACATCCGAACAGTGAATGAGTTAAAAATTAATTAACAGCAGCTTTTTGCAACAATTCATTTGCTACATATTTTTAAATTAAAGATATTTGGATACAGACATAAGTAATGATAATATTAATTTTGTTTTTATCGCTTCCTTTAAAAGAGACCAATTAGAGGTTGGATTATAGATTCGTGGAAAAATCCTTTCCACGTCGTAGAACAGCGTAGACGTACTTCGTAGACTTATGTAGACGTAGCAGACTTATGACGTAGAATTAAAATTACGCTGCTAAAAATAAGCTACCCTTAAGTATTAGATTAGTTAGCTTCGTAACTACTTCAAACTTTAATAAGATATCATCTTAAGTCACTATAAGCACGCACAAGATACAATTTGAAAAGTTTTTTTATTGATGTGAAATAGATTAGTTGAATTCGTTGGGCAAGGTCGACGAGGGATCAATTTCTTTGGCGCTTTGGTAAATCTAATTCAATTTGTTAGACCTCTTTGGTGTCTGAATATTATCGAACTCGAACTGTCCGTTACGAAGAATATCACAAAAGAGCATTTTTAAAAAATAACAAATTAACACAATCTATTTATTTTAATGATTAATGCTGGCCGTTACAAAAAATATCACAAAAGGCCATTTTTAAAAAATAATAAATTAACACAATCTATTTATTTTAATGATTAATGCTGGCCGTTACAAAAAATATCACAAAAGAGTATTTTTAAAAAATAACAAATTAACACAATCTATTTATTTTAATGATTAATGATGACATTAAATTTTATTTTGCAATTACATTGCTTATAATGTCAATAATGTGTTTCAAATATACAATTTCCAATCGCTTAGAAATCCGAAATATCTGGAATGTATATACGAATAAATTTAAACAATACCGTGGATTTATCTTACTTACTATTCAACTTAAATACAATAGATTCAAGTTACCGTGAAAACAAAGCATCAATAACATTATAATCAGAAGCTTTTGTTAATCAAGTAAGCAAATGTTAATATTTATACACATCAAATCACTATCTTACTTCTTACTAATATTATAAATGCGAAAGTTCAGATGGATGGATGTTTTTTAGAGTTTGTAGCCTAAACGGCTGAACGGATCTCGATGAAATTTGGCATAGACGTAAAGGATAGTCTGGAAGAACACATAGGCTACTCAGTTTTGCTTTTCCAGTTTATTTCCATGCGGACGGAGTCGCGGGCGGAAGCTAGTATATTATAAAACAAAGTCGCTTCCCGCTGTCTGTCTGCATCTTTGCATGCTCAGATCATTCAGAAGCAACGGGTTTTTATGCAGTTGTTTTAATAGATAGAGTGATTCAAGAGAATAGTTTATTTTAATTTAGTTGAGAAACACTGATAAAGGAAGCATTTTTCAACATCATCCACTTGCCTTTATCTCTCACGGAGGGTCGCCACAGTATGTGCTGTCCTTCCATACATCTCTATCAGCCGTCATATCTAAATCCACTCCTCTCTTAAGCAAATCCTCTTTCACACAATCCATCCATACTTTCTTTGGTCTTCCTCTACCTTTGTAGCCATCCACATTCAATCTTAACACTTTCTGGTTTATGTCCCCATCGTTTCGTCGCATAACATGTCATAAAAAAATTACATTTGTTATCTATATATTGTGTAGCAATATCTATATATTGCTGGAGAACTAAACAATAAATCACAACATTCTTAAGTAATGTAACCAAACTCGAAACTCTTAAGTCCATTTACAGTTTCACACCACAAGTAGTTAAGTTACACTTAAAATTTATTGCTTCTTTACCTCGTTAATATGTAAAATATATCTTTGGCCTTGAATCCTACTTTTAGTGTTATTTTCTTTAAAACTAGATTCTATTTTACTCGTGAAACTAATAAACGAAAACTTTGGAAATTCGATTCTTTGAAAAACCTTGTAGAAATAAGAGCTTAAAATATAAACATGTTGCACTTTTTTCTTTGAATACGAAAAACCATTAAATAAAAGAAAAAAAGATATATTGTTTTATGGTGCAAATTATTTCAAAACTATAAGTAAACCTTTACCTTTTTACAGCATTAATAGCTTTTACAATTTTAGTGAGCGGGTTTTTTTAAGTGAAACAAAACTTAAGTGATCGGTGACCTACGTCAAAAGAAAGGTTAATAGAAGGTACATTTTTAATTTGTCGAAAAATAGGTTAACTGAAATATTACAATCGTCCAGTATCGTAGCGTGTACTAGTTTCAAATTTTTTATCTTAATTACCCGGTGGTGAAACGATAGGGCTTATTTTTATAAGCTTACCGTGAGCTGTTCAATTTGTTAACGTAGAAAGACGTTTATCATAGCATTTTTTTATAATATAAGGCGGCAAACGAGCAAGCGGCCACCTAAATCCACGAAAATGGATAGCGACCGCTGCCTATAAACATCCACAATTGCAGATGCATTGCCTACCCTTAATTAATGGAGGAGGAGAAGCACATAAAGGGGTCATTTACCCTTCCTATACGTCTTCTCCACCGTCAAATCCAATTTTTTCCCATCCTTTCCGCTTAAGAATAGGGAAAGGGACCAAAATTAGGCCTCCGGCACGACACTTATCAGCCTAAACGCGGAATTGCTTTCACTTCACGCCTGTCTTCTATGTGGTCGTGTATTGCACGGGGAAAGCCGACCCATTCGTGTGAAGATATTAACGCGGGCTCTACCACTATCAAAATTTCATTCCATATTTGTTATTTTAATAAAAAAAAAATAAAGTCCCCGCAAGCTTGTCAATTTGAAAAATCGAAAAACAGCACAATTCATTGTAATAGATGGTAAATATTATAGTCATGTAAATTGACAGGCGCTGGTAACAATAACATTCGCGTGAAAGAACCTTCAATCTATATTTTGTTGTCAAAGAAATATAAAAGTACACCGCTCACAGATATTCAAGGGACAGGAAATATACATTAATTAGCATTGGAGTATTTCATTTCAATGTTAATTAAAACGTACATTTCTTTAATTTAAGGACATTACGATCTTAGAAACAAATCACATTAGACATAATAATTATCATTTTTGATAACCGAAACCTTTTAATGAAAAATATACAGTTCGTGGCATCAAGTTGTGAGCTACTCTACTGTTATTTACTCTCTATGAGATAGGTGCTTGGATCTATGGCTCCGTTTTTATATAAATGCTCCTTTTGGTGTTAATAATAGTTAATTCTATATCTATTATTACGAGTAGTTCCAATTCTCATCACCGGCACCAACAGGGACCGTCAGCATCAAAATCTAAGAGCTAAAATCAAATTGGCACAAAACACCACATCTTATAGCCAGTCCATTTATCCATGTCAGTGTCTGACAGTATTGTCGAGGATTTAAAAGTAAAACAATTAGTCGAAAAAATAAAAACGTCATTTTCCTTTCCTTAAACATCAACATGACAATAAAATTTTCAAAATCAACCTAACAAAAAAAAATAATTTAAACTTTATTTTAAAATTTTGAGTAAAATGCCGAATACTAGACGTAGAAAATTTTCAGTGAAGCAAAACATCAAACCAAACGAAGTCACACAATCACAAAATGCCGTTCAAGTGAAGTAAGTTGATTCTTGCATGACAACGTTATATTACAATATTTAAAGCTAGCTTTCGCCGGCGACTCCGTCCGCGTGACATTAAAAAACAAAAGAGTAGGATATCTCTTTTGTTCTTCCAGACTATCCTCTACATCTATACCGAATTTCAGCAAAATCCGTTCAGCCGTTTAGGCTACAAACGCTAACAAACATCCATCCATCCATCCATCTAAACATCCGCATTTATAATATTAACTAGTATGATTTATAGCTCAAACCTGAACTATAGCCATTAATTATAAACTTTTATACTTTTGCCTCTTTCCAGTATGTTATTGCATGATTCATATAACACAAGCTTAGTTACAACTGGAGATCAAACTGTTCAAAATACATCAAATAGTGAAGAAAACCAAATAGAATCAAACGTAGTTTCATTAGTGAATAAAAGTGCTGTACTTTTAGTTGATAAAGATGTATTAGTTAGTCTAAGCAAGGAGGAAATAAATAACGATTCTCATAACAAAAATTCCCGCTGTGATAAATCAATAAGTATATGTATAACAGATACAACAAAAGTACCTGAATCTAGTAAACAAAGAAATATAACTAGAAGAGAAAGATATGCAAGGCAGCATAAAATTAAAATAAGAAATCCAAGGCGTAGAATAGCTACCCATGACAAAATATCTCTAAGTCACTCTGAAGGAACTAACACAGATATTTCTAGGTCAACATTTGATAAACCAAATGAAGAAACAGTCTCAGATGGATTCACTAATATAGAAAGAGGAAGTGATAATTCTATCGAGGATATGTGTCGTATTTGTCACGGAGGTGATACATTCTGTCAAGAGCTTGGAGATTTGATATCAGCTTGTTCTTGCCGGGGAACTGTTGGCAGAGTCCACGTAAGATGCTTGGAACGTTGGTTAACGGAATCTGGAAAGTCTAGATGTGAACTATGCGGGATCCGATATGTAACACGACGAGTTCATCGTTACGGTATACCAAGATCTCTTGTTATGTGGATTTTAAGTCAAAATGCTAAACAGGTAATGAAAATTACAGATAATCTTTATATTAAATTTAATCTTTTACAGCGTAAATGCTAGAAAATAGTTGAGCAAACAAAATATGAAGCTTACCTCAGTTATTTCTTTATTGCTTCAAATAGCTGTAACTAAATCCGAGACAAGAGGTTGAGTAAATGAAAAATAACTTCTATCCTTCAAAACATTTATACAGTATTAGCTTTTACTCATAACTCCGTCTGCGTGGAATTAAAAACGGAAACAAAAGACTATCCTCTACGTCTTTTCCAAATTTCATCAAGATCCGTTACTACAAACACCCATCTAAACTTTCGCAAAGAGACATAACTTAACAAACCTAGAAAGAGATGGATGGATTGTGTAAAAGATGACATGATCAAAAAGGGAGTGATGACTGAGATGACGTATGATAGAGTTATGTGGAGGACAAAAACCTGTTGCGCCGACCCTACGGGAGTAAGATAAGGAGATGATGATGATGTTGATGATGATGAGAAACATAACTTAGTTCATTTTTTCTTAGTCTCACAGATGGTTGTTTTTTGTTTCTTTTCTAGTTAATGGTGGATACCCTCGGTATAGTCTTGATGTCTCCCCTCGCAGTGCTAGCAGCGTGGCTCTCTGGCAAAACCTTTGCGGCGCTAATCTCCCAGGAGAACCACACATCTCCTGCACCGTGGCCACTTGCTTCAACCTTTGTCTTGGCCTGTATGACCCTTGTGAGTACGTAAAGTGTTATTTTGCATTCTCGCGGTATACGTACAGCATCGATATTATTTGCTAGCTGCTATTCGCGACTTTGTTCACGAGAAATCTAAAAATATAGCCTACGTTACTCAGCGATAACGTGTATTCTAATGATGTAAGAATTGAAATCCAGTAGTTTTTGAGTAATTTCAATACATACAAAAATCTTTCCTCTTTATGTTATTAGTATAGACGTATTATATTGCCGCTATATTATTCGCAGGCGCTTAATAAACGCTGATTTTTTATAAGATATGTTTTCATACTTTCCAAGCTTGTTTTCTGAGATTTTGGTATGTTCTTTGGTTCAGGTATGCTACTACTGCTGGATAGTATCGGCGACGACCCGTCACACTCTGAGCTGGTGGATCTGGTACCGGGCGCAGTACGAAGTGAGACTACAGCTCCATGGTGATAGTGAAGATTAGGCAAGTTCTGTGCAAACTCATAACTATTTGTAACTTTTGTAAAACTATTTTATATGGAACATGGAAATAAGCATAAGGAATTTTTGAAATAAACTTATATAAAATTGTATTCTATATTTTTTTATTCTATTCCTTTCCAACTGATCAAAACAATTGGCACTTTTAAATAAAATAAATATTTATTGAATACTCTTACCAATAAAGATCTAATTATTTTAATTAAAATTAATTACTTAGAATGTAAGATAAATTTATATCTGTTTAAATTTCTCTACGTAATAAAGTTTTATAATAAATCTTTAAAGTAAAGAAACCACGTTCACCTTTACACAGAACTCGAAAAGAGCTATTTCATCTCTCATATTTATGTATACGTTTAATTTCTTAACTTTCAACTTCGAACTTTCTTACGTTATCTTCCACGTGTTTCTGAAATTCGTGAAACTTGGTTTCGCTAAAATAGTCCTATTCAGTGTCATTTCTAAAGAAAATGGTGGATAAACGACGACTATTTTAACACCGGAATACAATATTTTAATTATACCAATAACTATAATGTAAAAAAAATACGATGGCAATAATTTTTCTTAGAAATGAGGTATTAATAAAAATAATGCGACGCACCATCAAGCCCAACTTTTTATATTAAATCAGTGAAGAAAACCTCTCGTATTTGTGTAATATTTTTTCTATAGGAATCAAATACACATCGAATATAAAGAATATGGAAAAACGATTTTACTGGCGGCTCTGTTACAAGATTTATTGTTTGTAAGAAAATGGTTTACCGTGCGTTACGCATCACTACACAGGGCAAAATTTATTTCGTAACTATATTTTTAAATAATACGGACATAAGGTTAGTAGTAATTGAATTTACCACAAATAGTCACCGAATTGCTCTTACTGCTAGTGTTAAGTAGCTCCTTAGGCTTATCAAAGACTAACTTTCGCCCGCGACTCGGTCCGCGTGGAATTCAAAAAAACTACTCAGCCTACGTATTCTTGCAGACTATTCTCTACGTCTGTGCCAAATTGAATTAAATCAATAGGTAAATTAAATTAATAAAAATCAAGAGTCAGCAAGCTCGTCCAGCAAGGTTTCTGTTGATATCATCATCACCAGCTCACTATACTTTCTCACTGCCCACCTACCCTAAGTTAGGTATGACTAGGAACCACGCTGGCTCAGTGCGGGTTAATTGACTTCACACATCATTATCTCCCCTGCCTACTCCCGTAGTATCGGCGCACCGGGTTTTCGTCCACCAAAGCATACACATATCTTTGAATTTCTTCGCCGATATGTGCCGGTTGCATCATGATGTTTTCCTTCACCGTAAGAACGTCGGGTAAATTATTATATGTACATATCATAATTCGAAAAATCAAAAATCACATTGCTACATGGCGGGATTCGAACCCAAGACCTGTAGATTACAAGTCAAGTGCTTAAACAGCTGAGCAACCGAGGCTTCTGTTGATAAATAGCATTGTTTTTAATGATTTCTATTGTATTATTGTTTACCTAGAATTTATTTACTGTACCGGCTGTAGTTACTTCACAGAAGCCGACAAAGTTTTGTACAACTTGTGTATTGTTTCCTTGTATCCAATTTATTACAAGCATTCGTGCGCGAACGAAAGATACAAATTCAAAGACCTTTATATAACTTATTTGAAAAACGTTTACGCCTGGATCAATAACATATTGCTTTAAATCATCTTTATTTACTGTTATCTAGATATCTAGGTATACTGAAATTCAAAACAAATTTTACATTAAATGCAAAACTATACATATAATAAAGTTCGATTGTCCGTTTGTAATGTCAAAAGAAAAATTTCAGATTTCGGGAAGATGTGTTTGCGTTGCTCATAACGGAAATCGCATTTCAAAATGTTTTGTCTGTCTGTCCGCAAGCCGCATTTTTCCGGGTAATCTCCGAAACCGTTGGATTATCTTAATATTCGTCCGCGTCTTCACTTAGCTTAGGTGGAATCGTGATCAAGCGCTGGTTTATTTATGTTAAAAAAAATATTGCGTGGACGAAGTCGCGGACAACAGTTAGTCTGTGATAAAATTTATGTTCAAACTCTTTAAAGCCACTAAGGCTTTTAATAGAAAACAGTCTTAAGTAACAAAAGATTACATTTAAAAATATTAAACGTATAACAACTTATCGTAATCGTTAAAAGTTTATTTAATAGGTGAGCAAGTACTACAGTTTTTAAATACACAACTGTTGCAAGTTATTCATATAACAGTTGTAAAAAACAGTTATTATTGCTTCTTGTATGTAGCTAATAGCGTTTCGTTTAGTTCTTAATAGAAGTGACATCTTCTGTCCAGTCCGGCCAACTTCTTATCTCATTGTAAAGCTTTCTTCCCGGACTCTCAGTGGCTATGAGCTGACGATGTGCCACTACGTGGTAGTTTGATGCCAAATGACCAAGTTCAACGCCGCACTTGATTAGCGCCTTCGCAGCATTGAGGGCTTGAGCAGTAGGCTGGTCTTCTGTAAATGAAATAATAAATGTGTAACTGTATGACAACAACATCGTTTATTTGCTTCATACATTTATACAAAATCAAGGATTGTCTTCTATTATAATCTTATTAACCTTTTTATTCCCTTTAATAATGCAGACTGACGTTTTGACGGCCCCTATGTTTACTTGAGTATCTGCAAAATTCATATTTTATAGCATTTTACATCCACACATATGTAACTCGAGTTCTATTTATTACTTACTTATTAGGAAGTAAACTAAATAAGTTAAAATATACTACAAGTAAACTTCGTCTTCGCTTTGACAAAACTATTTAAAGTTAAAGATTGTTTTCAGTGAGTTAAATAAGATTATTGCAGAAGTTGCACTTACTATTAAAGTTTCCTATGAAGGAGATGCCGATGGATTTAGTGTTGTACCCGTATGTATGAGCCCCCGCGTGCAGCCATCCCGGACCTTCGTATACCTTGCCATTGCCGCCGATGAGGAATCTTTAAATAAACATTTTTTAATATTAGGTGTATCCAATAGAATGGCGAAGTGACGCTGCTCCAACACCCACACTCATTAGCTTACGGAATTGCTCCCACTTCACATCTGTCTTCTGTGCGGTCGTGGTATTACACCGCCGTCCCATTCATGCGAAGATATTAAAGCTGGCTCTACAAGTGTTAAACTGTGAGTTCTTGCTTTTCTCTTTACCCAGATAACAAAAAGCGACTCAAAAGCGTCTAGCATAATGATTTTTACCAAATAGTATAAATCCACTTTAATGTAGTTATAAAAGCAATAATATCTACGTAAGATATAGAGGTTAATTAGAGGTTAATTACTGGTTATCGAGGGTTTCTTGAAACGTGACATTAAGAACTATGTAAAGACCTTAACTTATTAAAATACATGTCTACAGAGTAAATGGTAACTCACGATTGTCCAATATCCCAGAAATTCAAGTTGTCCATTTGATTTGTTTGGATGTTTCTCACTATCTCTGCACAGTCGTCGTCGGTTGCACACGTGGGGGTCACTGTATGCTGGATGATGACGAGGTCTACCGGTCGCGTGAGATAACGGATATGGACCGGTTTAAGTCCATCCCAGTCTTTTCGACTCACTATTGTAGGACATGCTGGAAAATTATAAACAATTTGATTTATGTTAATATTTCTTCTAGTTACGTTTGCCCTTGGATGTTTATGATCACCTCAGTTTACTTGGTTATAGGGGTTTTAAGGAACCATTTAATAAATCTATTTCTGTCCTTCTTTTTTATTGCTTTTACAAGAACAAGACAATCACTGTTAGAGCGTACGTACACATGAAACTAAACCATCGCACAACTGTTTGATCTCACTTTGAATTCTATGAGCTTATATGGAGGTGCACACACTACTTGATTTTTAGTTGTGTAACTAAACAGTTGAATTGGCTGCGAAACAATCGACAATCGTACAACAATTGTTCGATAGTTTAGTCAAAAATAAAACATAGAAAACAAATGATTGTTATACTATTCTTTGTTTTCTTTAATTACTAAATCAATAGATAATAATAGTTCTATCTTTTCCTCCTACGATACAATAAATAAACCGTTCATCGGCTCTGATTACACATGTGTAAATAAATCATACTAACTATCATACTATTATAAATGTGAAAGTTTAGATGGATGTTTGTTAGAATTTGTAGCCTAAACTGCTGAACGGATCTCAATAGAATTTGGCATAGATGCAGAGGATAGTCTGGAAGAATACACAGCCTACATGGTTTTATTTTAATACTACGCGGTCGGCGTCACGGTGAAAAGCTAGTACAAAATAAAATATCAACCACAACATATTTTATCCTATCGAAAATGTTACACATGCATACTCATTTTTGTATAATAAACTATTTTTTGAATCAACATACAATATTTTGTACTATTCCCGTTAAATGTTTATGTTATGTCTCTTGAGCTTGTCACTTAGAACATGGCAAAATTGCCAACTTATAATCAGTGTTTGCAAGATCATTGACCTTTAGAACATTACTTATTCATCAACAACTAACTGTTCCTGTGCGGCTTCATCCGCATCAAATTATGAAAATTTTTATTGTTTACATTTGTCAAATTATCAATTGCAAATGTCAAAATGACATGACATGATAAACCTTAGCAATCTTTCTTTCTTGATGTTGGCAGCAACTTATGGTCTCTTTCCCACATTAGGGTTTTTATTCAAAATCTTTACACTCTAAGTTTAATGGCGTTAAAATATATAGCTTAAAGCGTGACGTAAGGGTAGGGCTTTTTATTAAAAAAGGATTATTCAAAAATATGGTGTAATTGCTGACATCTTAGGCAACAAAGAAGTGTGTGTTTACCCTTTATTATAATAGTATAGATTGAGAATAAAATTTTAATATTTAAAGATTCAACTTACTTGCACTGGTATAACAACATTGTAAATAAACTATAAAACTTATACAAAAACATTTAATTCTCATTTTGAACGTGTGCACTTCACGAGTATTCAAAAGATACTAAAGTTCCATTGCATTGACGCGTCTATAAATTCTTTATTATAAGTCGTATTCATTTTGTGGTCAAGTGTACATGTTATCTCTTTTTTCGCGAATATACAAAACAAAGACAGAATTACAATATAATATCAAAAGAAGAATTGTGTTAAATATAATGTGTCTTGTTATAGTTTAGAATAGAACTAGTTTTCGCCCGCGACTCCTTCCGCGTGGAATTAAAAAAAAAAAAAAGTTAATGGCGTATGTGTTCTTCCAGACTATCCTCTACATCTATGCAAAATTCATAAAGATCCTTTCAGACATTCAGGCTACTAACTCTAACAAACATCCATACATCCATCCCTCCAAACTTTCGCATTTATAATATTAGTAAAATTAGTTTAATACTTTGACTATAGTCCCAAAAATTAATCTGGCCCGGTGAGCTTCACAGTTTCGTTAGTTATGTCACAAGATATTGACTACTTTAGCTAGTTGCACTGTACAAAATCTTACATTTTGTGATTGTTTTTTATTTAAGTTTCTCTGTATGAGTTGAAATATATCATTTTATTACGTCGTAAAAATTGAAAATCAATTAATAAGCAAAATTAAAAATCAATATAATAGTAAATTAAAGGTGAGAATAGAATGGTCAATGTGTTATCGTTTAAATTATTACTATACACTAATATAAATAAATAATCCAAACGTTCATAAAATAAATTAGACCATTAACTCGTTAATTTAAAAAAAATCTGTATTGATTGTTTTTGTTCCTGATTTTTCTCTACTAATGTATTTTTGTACATAACTAAAAAACTACTGTTTTTTTAATTCTTTTGCAATTAGAAATTAACAGTGTTACAAGTATGGAATAATTTCTACTAATTCCACACGGACGAAGTCGCAAGCAAAGGTCTGTATTTTTTTATTGAGATTTAATAAATAAATGTGTTCTGTTGCTTACCCTTACATAAATCACTTCAATAAATCAACAAGGAACTCCGAAACAAACAAGTTTTGCATTAACATTATTGAGTGAAAAAAAAAAACGTTCAATTTCCAACATCGTATGTCCTGTACATACGAGTCACTCACTGGTCATGACGCATGCACCGTTGTATTGTCAAAGACTGATATATTTCAGGTACTTCCCTGACGCGATCGACGCGACGCCGCGGCGGGAAGAACCTAATTTGTGACGGGTCAATGATAAGATTACCGAGAAATAATTATTTTAATTGTCTAAATTTGACCGCCAAATTAAGGAAAAATTGCTTACCGAGCTTAAACTATATTAAAAAATATATACATTATGTTTTACTTTGTTAGCTTCTGCCCGCGAAATGTTCGTGTGGAATTAAAAAGACAACAGTAAATAACCTATGTGTTCTTTTAGACTGTCCTCTACATCTATGTCTAATTACATCGAGATCCGTTCAGCAGTGTAGGCTACAAACTCTTACAAACATCCAGGCATCTAAACTTTCGCATTTATGTCGACAACCCTACCTATCAAACTTAAAAATCGTAAATGAAAAAGTACACAATAAAAAATAACTTCATGCTGTTGACAGCCCTACTAGATTTAGCACTTTTATTTATGAGAGTACAAATTGGTTTTACTGCACACTTCGACATTAGAACTGCAATAAACAGATGTTGTACTTGTTTATTGGGCTAATAAAAATAAAATGTTTTACGGATGTAGGTCTATGTAAAATGAATAGTTAATATTTAAATAAAAATCAAAGTTTGAAAAAAAAGTGAAATAAAAAAGTAACACAAAAGTACTTGTGGGTTCTACTTTTAAGTGAGAATTATTTTAACGATATTAACCTATCTATCCATACTTCGGATTATTCCCAACCGTCACCCCCCTCTGTCCCCACGTAGAGACAGATGAGAATAAAGAGTTTCACATCCCACATTTTGCGTCCAGGGGACGGGCGGAACTTATTTTATTTCATAACAGTTCCATCTGTCACCTTATTGGTGATAGTAGGACTATACTAAAAGGTGGGACGGATGAAACATTTTATTCTCACGTGGGGTCAGACTGGGGTGACGGTTCGTAATAATCACACACTTCGATTAACTATAAGACAGTTTCCATAAACAAGTTTATCTCAATCCCTATGATGTGGGTTATTTCACAATTACATGAACAACGCAATTTACTTTTATTACGTAGTTTAGCTGGATGAGTAATAGCTACCGCATTTTATCTCTTGCAAAGTAATTCTTGTAATAAAGATTTGTTTAGTATACAGATAGAAGTAATCAAACAGGGCTAGGATTATATCTAGGCATACACAATTCAATTGGCTACTATTTTATCTTAACATATCGTAAACGAAGTCACGGGCTAAAGTTACTTAATAATAACGGCAGTCACTATATTCACAGCAATTATTTAAAAATATAATTACGATGCGATATTTTGCCAGGCGCTTTATGATTATTAGAAGTTAATTAATCTTGGGGACAAAACACACTGTTCCCAACGTGCATTCATCTATCAAATATATTTATTTGTGTGCTAAGGTACCATAATCAAGGTTTTGAGGAATATTAACTGCTTCATATGATTTATAGTGAAGTAAGTAATAAATTAGAAGTAGCAAAAATTGCTGGACACTGCTGGACCAGATTGACAACGGACAGGACTACATGGAAGAATTTGGAGGAGGCCTCCGCTCTAGATGGCCCTTACACAGAACATTAAGAGTGATACTAACCATACTAATATTAAAATATAATTTAAGAGAATCAACTTACAACACTAAAATATCTTTAGACCTAGTTGTAAATATTTGAAAAATGTATAATAGTTTTTAGTTGTAATTTATAAATAAAAATATTGTTAATTGTAAATTGAGAAGCAAAAGGTTAGCGTGGTATGGACATGTTATGTGACGAATTGATGGGGACATAAACCAGAAAGTGTTAAGATTGAATGTGGATGGCTACAAAGAAAGAGGAAGACCGAAGAAAGTATGGATGGATTGTGTGAAACAGGATATGCTTAAGAAAGGAGTGGATTCAGATATGACGGCTGAGATGTATGGAAGAGCAGCACATACTGTGCCGCCCCTCCGTAAGGGATAAGGGCAAGTGGATTATGATTGTTAATTGTAAACTGTATTAAAGGAAAATAAAAGCTACCTTTATATTTATCTTTAAGTAATGAATATGTTTTTATTAAATGTATTTCATGAAAAAAATACTATCACTACTAAGAAATCATCTAACTATGTTTTAATTAGTACATAAATGTCAGGGTTTAAATGTTTTCTTCGTATTTCAAGAGGTTTTACTGTCTACAGCACTTTTTCTACAAACTTTTTGGTAAAATGTTAAAAGAAAGTCTTATTTTTCTAAATACTGACAAGGACTAATGGTCTAAGATTATTTAAAAATCTTGCAAATGTCTACTTATTGTTTGTTAAATTACATTTTACATGTAGGCTTTATAAAGCCCTTGATACAGAACTCTTTTTAAACAATACTAGTTTAATGAAAATAGTTTTTAAAACAAATTATCTAGGAGACCAGACAACAGTTTTAGCATTGTTAATAAATGAAAATGAAATAAAATCAAAAAGTAAAATAAAATATCATATTATAGTAATCGAAACCAATTTTAGAATCCTTGAATTAAATTGAATCCTTCCAGATCTTATTAAGTACTTTCTTACAATTTATTTTAGGGAGGCATCAAATTTATAACTCAGTATTTTCTGATCTCTTTCCAATCTCTTGAATCTAGATCGTTTGAAATTTATTAAAGCATTGTCGAAAAGGCATCTCTGTTCCTTTATTATTATTGTAATAGTGTCGTATTGTAGATCTTTCCACTCGATTAAGCGATTTAATGACCTTGATATCTTTAACTGTTACTATCTGCTGCCCAAGACTTCATCATTAAGTAGTTTTGTGAGCAAATGAGCATTGAAACTGTTCAATTTGTCAGATTATTTCTAGCATGTTCTATTTCAGAATATATCGTATCACATTAAATCTAGACTCATTAACATGAGTAGCTAAAAACATACATCCAAACTTTCCCATTTGTAAACCTAATCTTACTTATATTATAAATGCGAAAGTTTAGATGGATGGATGCTTGTTAGACTTTGTCTAAACTGCTGATAAAATTTGACTCAAACGTAGAGGATACTCTATAAGAACACGTAGGGTGCTCGGATTTGTTTTTTCTTTATTCTATGCGGACGGAGTCGCGGAAGAAAGCTAGTAAGATTTGTAATGAATGGAAAATAATACGTTTTGTTTACAATTTACTAAGCAAATAGTTACCAAATTCCAAGATAAAGTGATCCAATTAATGGATCTGGAACTTTTTATCAGCATACATTCTTATCGATAAATAACAAGAATTTGAGCTAAATTATGGAATTATTTAAGACTTCGTTTAAAATCTTGATAATAACAATCTTTCTTCATACTAATAATTTAAATGCGAAAGTTTAGATAGATGGATGTTTGTTCGAGTTTGTAATTTAACTATTGCTCGGATCTCTATTGAATTTAGCATAGATGTAGAGTCGTCTGCAAGAACACGTAGTCTACTTACTTTTTTTTAATTCCACACGGACTGAGTCGCGGGCGCAAACTAGTAATATAATAATGAATTTCTATATTCGTCAAACTCAAACAATTCAGTAATAATTGCGCCACGCCAATTAACTGTTTAAATTTTAACGGAAACTCCTTCATTAAAATGTGACAAGGGTCCACAATACACTTTGTAGAAATATTGACGCCACAGCGACAGTTCAAATAACAACGTTAAATTGACTTTGTACAACCTTACCAGGAAAATAGAAACGCTGTCTGAGGAGCGCCTCCATAACCTACTTTATTACCCGTCTAAGTATATAGAGAAATTATGTAGTTTTATATTTTGCCGTAATATAGTGAAATAGTGATTTTTGTTATATTTATGTATATTTATATTTCAAGTCAAACTATACACAATCGATATACAATCAGTCATTAGTCAATAAAATTGTATGAAAGGCCAACAAAGAAAATGCGAAACGAAAATTTTATTCCGGTGTGGTTGAAAATACCTAAACAATACTTTCATCAGAATTATCCCGTTCTTTGCAGACGTCATTCAGAACCGTAATTACATTACACAACATATTTTGGCATACAAATTAAAAAAAAAAACAATTTTGTATAAATCATGATTTATATTCGGGTAAAATACAACAAAATCAATTTACATACTATATTTCTTAACCACGTCATTAAAAGTAGTTAAATAAATTAAAAATAAGCAAAAAACTGGTTATGATGAAATTGAAGAACATGAAATAATTCTAAGTAAATGAAATAGCAATTGACAATAATCCAATGGATTTGAACCTACGACAGCTAAATCTGTGACCCGTAATTACATCCTTTAGATTATTGCTTCGTAATGTTTACAATGCGTATGTCCAATGTGACCAGTTGCTGATATGTTCCTGCAACTTGTCTCCAAGGCTGCTGGTCGCGGACAACTGTCTGTGACCGACAATACGGTAATTAGGAGTGAGATAGTAATTCCTAACCCCACATGATAACAAATCATCAGCTGCTTGTAGTGCTTCTGGTGTCGGGAGTTCATCTGGAAGCATAAATATAAGTCTATACTAATATAATAAAGCGTAAACACACACTTCTTTGTTGCCTAAGATCTCAGCAATTACAGCATATTTTTGAATAATTCTTTTTTTAATAAAAACCCCTACACTTACGTCACGCTTTAGGCTACATATTTTCACGCTATTTAGGGGTAAATATTTTGGATTAAAACCCTAATGTGGGAAAGAGACCATATGATACGAGCTGCCAACATCAAGAAGCAAAATTGGTTTTAAGGATTTGACAAATGGAAACAAAAAAATAATGTTTTTTTTTGGAACAGCTAGTCTTATGGGTTTTAACTATTTTTTTCTGGTACTCAAGGTTTATTTTTGGACCTCGATTTAGAGCCATAGTTCAGAATAAGGATGCTAGAAAACCTTTCAAAGTGTATGCAAATACCCGGTCGTTTTTGTTTTGTATTAAAATATTTTTAAATGAAAACTGTTAGTATGTTTGTATTTGATTATGATATCTTACGAATTAACACAACTTTCAAAATTATTTTATACCCGATTTCCAAAAAACCGGTCCTTAGATAATGCAATTACCTTATTGCTAACCTATTCTTGTTGGCGCTCATTTGTATGTTGAAAATAGCTTTTTTTACTACAGTAAATAGTAACAACTAACTTTATGCTTAGGTTACTTACATGAAAAATCTCCTATGAAAGATACAGCGATAGCCTTGTCGTTATACCCACGCGTATGAGCTCCAACATGTTTCCAGCCCGCGCCTTCATATACTCTACCATTGCCTCCGATAAGGAATCTACGAATTTATAAAAAACAATAAATCCTATGAAAAGGAAAATTTAGGAATGTTTAAAAAATCTTAGTGATCTCTCTTGGAAACCAAATATTAATTAGAAAACGGTATTGTGACAATCGCATTGACAAATACATAGCAAATGCTGATACGAAAATGTCCTTATCTACATCACATAAGAGACCCTTATCTATATTTCTCTATTGTATTATACAAGTGGGCCATGAATTTGTTAGCCATGGAGTGCTAGATTTAAATGTTAACGAATACTTGGCCCACCCTGTACATATAATTTTTCCTCTTGAATATCTCTTATTTAAAAAAAACCTTCATCAAAATCTGTAGCGTAGTTTTAAAGATTTAAGCATACATAAGGACAGACAGACAACCAGAAGCGACTGATTTTTTACTATGTAGTAATGTCATTTGTTTTAAAGTCTTCGTCGGATGGGTTATAAAGTGACTTACGATGGGCCGATGTCGGTGAAATTCAAATGATTAATATGGTAATCTCTTATGCTTTTCAAACTGCTTTCACAGGCGTGGTCAGTGTTGCACGGTGGCGATACCGTGTGTTGGATGACGACAATTTTTACTGGCAAATCTAAAAGCACAGTACGCCGTGTAGATTCGCAGCTCCAGATCCAGGTCGGTATAATGCCACAACTAGAATCTGTAATAGACGCACAGATTAAATAGATTTTGTGTGGAAAACAGTAGAGCTATTAATTATAGATTCTATTAGACATGACTTGTTGGCTTAAATATACGTAAAAATATAATAAATTTTAAATGATCTTACCAATATATGCCGTAGATGAAGACAATATTTGATGTGAGATAAAAGTGATTAATAAAAAGAAGTTAGCCATTTTAAAATTTAAAATACAACTTTTGAATGTGAACATATCTGTAAGAAACTTTTCACCAGATTAAATCTATAACCACTCTGTTCGCATTTAAATACTCATGAAACATTTCGCCCCCGACTATAGAAAATTCCCATACGTTCTTATCAATGTTCTAAATAACAGCGCAAAACATAAGGGCAAAAGATCGTTGTGATATCAAAACATCATAAGGTTTTCACAATTTACTTTGTACGATTAAAAGTAAAAAAGAATTAATTTTTTTTCAATTATTGCTTGAAGCTCATGCTATTCTTGAATGTACAAATTAGATCTAAATACCAACATATTTTTGAATATTGATTTGATTATTACAAAGTGGATTTGACGGTTGAGGAGCCGCATAGGAAGGGGAAATGTCCTCTTTATGTGCGTCTCCTCCTCCGTCAATTAAGGGTAGGCAACGCATCTGCAATTGCGGATGTTTATGGGCAGCGGTCGCTTTCTTTTGAGGTAGATTGAGGTGGCTGCTTGCTCGTTTGCCATCTCATATTATTAAAAAAAAAACTAGCTTTTGTCACCACTTCGTCCACGCAAAAAAACAAAAGAAAATTATCTGTTCTATGTTCTACCTCAGTATTGAGATTCATCCTAGTCCAGTAAACCGTTATGGAGATACCTTCTAACATCCATCCATCTGTACTCTCGCATTTACAACATAAGTGAGATAACTAAGTTAGTAACAAGAAGTAACATTACTAATATTGCTCTTAAGCACATTCATATTCTCGTTTCTCTAACTTTTTATACATTAACAGAAACAAAAGTAGATTTATGACGTTGAAAGGAAAGCTAGGACAAGACGAGTTTATTTCTGTAAATCCTCACCTTTGTAAGCTATGCAACGCATCTGCAATACATTTGCTTGCTAATACCTTTTTGCTAGAAGCAACAGCGTTATCTGGGGTCTAGCCCATTAAAACTCTTCGGTGACTATCCTTTATTATGACGGGCGGTGCTCTAGGGTATCTGATGAAGCGTACTGGTGCACCACACTCAGCTTATTCGTGACTCAGTGCAGCTGATCCTCTCAGATTTCATCTTTTCTTTCAACACAGGACCATACCATGTTCTTCCTCGTATCACTTTGCATGATGATAATGGTCCTCAACCCTACCAAGTACCAGAGATTTTCTTTTCGTCAATATTGCGTGTTATATTCGAAAGATTAGAGAGTTATACATATTTTTTTTATGTATAACTCTCTAATCTTATTTTGTAACAATGTATTTTAAATTCCGCAAGACAATCATTAAAAGAAGACGCTGCCTCCTGAAACACAGTTATCACTAGCTCAGGAGACAGAGTCCCACTAACTGTACTAAACTGTTTTAGTTCAATAAAGGATTTTTATTTATTTATTTATTTAAATGTTCAAGCTCCAGTCTTGCTTTGTTTTTGATAGTAATGATCATTTACAAATATCATACTAATATTATAAATGCGAAAGTTTAAATGGATGGATGGGTGTTTGTTACAGTTTGTAACCTAAGCGGCTGAAGGGATCTGGATAAAATTAGCCATAGATGTAGAACGTAGTGTGAAAGAACACATAGGCTACTTGCTTTTGTTTCTTTTTAGTTCCACGCGATCGAAGTCGCGGGCAAAAGCTATATGATATAAAATTAAGACATATCTCCGAAACGATTGGACCGATAATGGCGGGACTGTCACTGGTGGGAAGATGACATGGACGGGAATATTATAGGCTTTTTTAATTCTGCGCTGCGGGCCGCTACGTCTGGAACGGGTGGTAGAAAGTTATAGACGACCTTTTTTTTAATTTTGCTCTCACAAATAATTTTCTAAAGATTATTCCTCTACATCTAAGTCGAACAAAAGCTTAGTTCGTTTAAGTAGGATTAAACTACAAACTAAGGATTACAGTTTCGTAGTTCATCGTTTTACTCAAAATACGGTCTTGCTACATTTACAATAAGCACAAAATATATAATCACACAATTGTCAAGCATTTTTAACGCAATCAAAATAAACATTAAAAGAAATATTCAACCCTAAAATCATGCACTTATGCAACTAAATATTGTTATTGACAACCTCTACGCAATATTGTAGGAAAATAGTTCTTCCCCGAATGCGATAGCCTCTGACTAAACGAAGTCAACGAAGCACACTTGACATTGTATATTAGTACTCAAACTTTACGGCACCTCAGAATTCTGATCTATTATAGCGTCGAATAAAATAATCTAAGGGATCAAGGAAAACATTGCCTATATCTTATTCATGACTCTTATTTATCTTTGTTTTAAATTTCATCCGGTTTCCTTAGGTTTTGAAATTACGTGATAACACATCCGACCATCCAAACATAATAATGGTAAGTAGTATATCACCATAGATAGTTATCGGCAGGACGTGTAGAAGTAATTCTATGAATGCTAGCCACAGCTGTACGTGCTTTACTATGGCTTTCCAACATACGCTTGCCACAATCATTACCATAAAGTTTGAATCTTACAATACATATTAGTGAACAGTAAAACTCCACAGTAAGAGTACCTCGAGCTTCTCCGTTGTTAACTTAACTAAGGTAATAATTATGTTAATGATTATATAGCCAATAAGACTGAAACCGATTGGGTCTATTTAAAGATCGACTAAGAACAATTAATTACGATTTGTTTGTTATTGCTCAAATTGTCTGGACTTAATACAGGTTAAATTTACCCGTACTTTTTCTAAAAGGGTTGTTTTTATAATTTTATTCATACTATATCTAATTGTTTGTGTTTGATTTTAATATACCAATATTGAAAAGTATGAAGATGTCGTCTACATTCGTCTAAAAAGCGAAACAACCGCTGTCTACTTGAATCCATTTGAATTTAAAAACTTTCTGAAGGTAAGCAATGCGTGGACGGGTGACCTTTATTCTTCTATTCCCGTGGGTTCCCACTGTAGAGACCTGGATATAGATGTTGCTATCTCTCACTTTCCATTGAAAAAATAGAGATTACCGAAAAATTGTGTATATAACAGCTTTATTACAATGTCGTTATTTCGCATCTTATTCATGTGATTTAATCGGAAAATTAAATTATATACATTTTCAGGTTTTACATATTTTTTTTATTATTTGTATAATGCTTAATACAAAAAATAATGCATTAAATTATCTAAACACTTGTGTATGTAAATTTCAAATATTACGACGTGTTTTTGTATTGTTTTAATTCAAAGGAGACCCAGACCCCGCCATTTGCCACTACATAAATGGAAATAATTTTTGTCGTGTAAACAATAAAAATATTCCTCTTAAATTTTCCACCAAAGTGTAATTTTCGCAAAGTTTTCCGTTAAGCAGTATCATAACGTGGAAAGTTTTCATCTTTTTATTGTTATTTACTCTGAACATTTCTAGGGTTTTACGAAAAAAAAGTCCTTTAGACATCAACAAAACATTCTTTGAATTCTTTTATGTTATTGCTATCAGTTAAATATGTAATTATACTTTCTTAAAAATTAACAATAATCATAAGATATTCGTTGGCTACATAGTGAATAGTTAGTAGAGATATTAACATAAGATCAAATGCTCCAGATTATTTTCAAAATCTATTGTAATTACAACCAATTTCATTTTTTTTATAACATAAAGTGGCAAACGAGCAAGCGACCACCTGAATCCACCGAAATGGAAAGCGACCGCTGCTCATAGACATCCGCAATTACAGATGCGTTGCCTACCCTTAATTGACCGAGGAGGAGACGCACATAAAGAGGACATATTCCCTTCCTATTAAATTACTATAGTTACTATATTTTCATGAATCATTTCGGTATTTCTGTTTATTTTTAATATGCCATGGCAATTACATACCGATGCAAAACGGGAAAGACCTAAATCCAAATATTGCGCGATATCTTTGTACCCGCAGCATAAATTTAATACCTTCATTACGTAACACTGAAACATAACGTATTTAAAAATAAAATAACCTATCTAATACATTATTTGATCTCCACCTTGTCAACCATAAAACCTGTTTTAAAAATATGTTAATACTCAATCCTCAGATAATGGCATTAAATATAGAAATTGCAGGTTAGTTGCAAATGTATCTTGTGCGAAGGTTCCAAAAATGTTGGTTGGCTGAAGGTAATAATGGTTCAAGAAAGGTGTAAATTATAAACCATACAATTTACCTGTAGGAGAAATCCACTATCTCCGTTTAGTCTATTTGTTTGTAGCTCTTGGCGAAGATGTCGACGACATCCAAATATTTCAGCTTCAGCCACGTTGTAGGCTCTTAACACTACGTCCATCCAATGGTTTCTAATACCCGTGTAGGAGTCATCCTTGTTACTGCGTTAACTTTCAAATAAAAAAAGGCTCATGGTTCAATGTTGATAATCAGATGCTTACCTTTACTATCAACACGATGTTGTATTTACATATATCTGATCAATACGCACAAATAACCTATGAGTAGGAAGCCATTGAAGAATCTATTTCTTTTGCTAGCATCATAATAAAAGGTTTGTTTGCAAGTAAATATTGTGATCTATTGAAAAACATTTTCCGGGATAATAGATATCGGGGATTTACAAGTTACCGGGCATTGTGGTCCCTTACATATATACCGTCACGAATTATTCTCCATGCATTTTATAATTGCATGTCCAGTCGGTTGGTTCCTGATACAAGTAACGATGACCAATCTAATTTTACTTTTTGTTTTTGTAGCAAAAATCGTTGCAGCTTCCGGTAAATATATTCCATTTTTTATTATAGTAAAATCTTTACCTCCTTGTGTTATTATTCTTTGTAGAATCATAACAAAGGTTTTCGTCTTACAAATCGCTTTATCATTATTTTCAATCGTTATTTCTTTTAACATGTATTTTTCCTTATTTGAAATTTACAATGTACCTGTCCATATTACTTATTTTTATATAAATTGTTATATTCCAGATAGAGATTGCGGAGTATTACCAATAACGTTATGGAGCGGAGAGAAGTCTCGTAGGACGTCGATGCTGAAGACCCCAGTGCAGCTGGTCGTCATCCAGCACACGGTCTCCCCCACCTGCTACACCGACCAGGCCTGCGAGAGCATACTACGCGGCATTAGGATACATCATATCGTTGATTTGGATTTCATCGACATTGGAACTTCGTAAGTCATAGTTGAGTCAACACATTATTTACTGAAGTGTTTAGTCCATTTTATCAAATTTTAACAATCAAGTATAGTAAAAGTAATAGAAAATCTGTAATTTAAAGGAATGTCTTTACATTTTTGCACTACAGCTTGTAGAAAATAAAAAATAAAAAACTAGTTAAAGCCCTCTACGGGACCATTGACAATAGTTATTGGATTCGCCCAAATCTTATTTCTAGAGTGTCAAAAATCAAACACCCTATATACAAGCAAGCGTGAAGGTTGCAGAGGTTCAACTCAGCAAAGAATAGGAAAGTATTAGTAATTAAGATTTGTGAAGACGCATGTTAACAATTTGATCTATTTCCAGGTTTCTTATCGGCGGTAACGGCAGGGTATACGAGGGCGCGGGCTGGCAACGCATCGGCGCTCACACGAGGGGGTACAACGATAAATCTATCAGCATATCTTTCATAGGAAACTTTAACAGTGAGTAAAGGAAGGAATAAACTACGCAGGAAATGATTGCTAGAATCACAACCATTTGGCTATTCCCGTATATTTATGTAGTCAAAGGCTATAAAAGTGACATACAAAGGGCTTTCTTGCGGATTTATATAATCTATTGATCATAGTCTTGTTTTTTACTGATCTGGATTCTTGTTTCTTTACAAATATAATAAACTAGCTTTAGCCCGCGATTCCGTCTGCGTGGAATTAAAAAAACAAAAGTGAGTAGCCTATGTGTTCTTCCAAACTATCCTCTATATCTGTACCAAATTTCATCGGAAACCGTTCAGCCGTTTAGCCTATAAACTTTAACAAACATCCATCCATCTAAACTTTCGCATTTATAATATTAATATGAATATAATTTAATCATATCTAATTGTTGATACCATGGATGTAGCAAGAGAAAAGGTTGTCTTTGCAATTACAGCAGACTTTAAAAGAGTTATTCGTTTTCCAGATGAACTGCCAACAACTAAAGCGTTAAAAGCAGCACAAAATTTAATAAACTGTGGTGTTTACAACAACTACTTGACGAAAAACTACGAACTTGTGGGGCACCGGCAACTATCCGCAACGCAGAGCCCCGGCGACTCCCTGCAAGACCTCATTGAGACGTGGCCTCATTGGAAGAAGTTTGATTAAAGTTTTACGTACCTTTGTTATTATTATAATACTTTATTTATTAAATTGGTTACGTTATTCAATTAGTACTTTTCATATTCTTCATGAGAAAACGGCAAATTAATTTAAATCAATTTATACTTTCTTTCCTTTTCAAGTCCGAAGTTTTCAAAGGTAAAATAAACACAAAGAACAAGACATAAGTATTCTATACGATAAAACTAGTAGAACATATTGTAACAACATCCTATGTATGTCATGTAACGTAATACATAACAAGGATATTTCCTTCACAAGTATTATACGACTCTAGGACGAGGATACAATTGTATGACGTCGGCTGTGTAATTGGAAATCCGATAAGACCGACATTCATGCAACATCCTGGCGAGACGCAAGGACGTACCAATCAAAACTATTGGAGCGAATAATGCATTGTAGAATGACATAAGATAGAGTTAGGCTGGGTTTAATTTTATTGGCAAATGGCTTTTGATTGTAGACACTCTTTTGTTTCTTTTTAATATATTTTTTTGTTGACTTCAATCTAGTCCAATGAACAGTAGATAGGCAAAGAACAAGCACAGAGTAGTGCCACTTTGTTTTTGTTTGTAAAATATTGGAACAACCGAACTCTGCAGTATATTTAACGGGACACACTTAACCAATTTTTCTACTTTGTCTATAGCAAACAATTGTCGAAAATTTTAAAGGTATGTTACAAGGTCATAACCTCTATTCATATGTCACAAAAAATATATTAGCATAATATTGTAGATGTATTTTCTGGAATTTTCTACCAATAGTCCTTTTTTATTTATTTGCGTCAATTGCGGTTACTTGTTTTTTTTTTTATCCTAAATGGTTGCAAGCCAGTAAGAGCGTTGTGCGATTGTCGTTTGTTTCGAGTCAACTAAAGATCGAGTAGTATGCGCACCTCCATATAAGCTTATAGGAATCAAAGCGCGACTAAACAGTTATGCGATAGTTTAGTTATAGGTGTTCGCGCGCTCCAAGCGGTCATATGACACTTCAATTCAAAGTGTCCGCTGCCAATGGACATTTGTATTTACTTGAAAGGTTCCTTACTCTTCACGCCTTCCAATTGGTCATGGCAATGAACCGGTGAAACTGTTGTCGTACATAACATAACATAAAACTGCATTTAAATCTTATGAACTAGCAATAATTAAAGTAGTTATGTAAATTTTAAGTAGAGTGTTAACAGGTTTGGCACAAATTATAAGTACAGTCAGCCACATAGAAATGCAATAACAAGGGTAAAAAGTTAACGCCTTCGGTTACAAAAATATGAAGTCAGTAACATATATGGTCCGAAGGCCTAATTTTAGTCCCTTTTCACCCTTTCTTTGTAATGAAAGGATAGGTGGGGAAAGTGGAGTTGACGGAGGAGGGCGCGAATAGGATCGGGAATATCTACATTATGTGTGTCTCTTCCTCTATCGATTAAGTGACAGCGGTCACTTCGCTTGCTCATTTGCCACCCTATACAGAAAAAATACTGACGGATATTTTTGAAACCGAAAACCTATGCGAGTTTCTAAAGTTTTGTCAATGGGTACATATTAATTAATGAAGCTGACTGTACCTACTTTCAGTTTACAACAGTTTAATAATTGTTGTTGAAAATCCGTGCGTAGGCTAGATGAAAGACGACTTAAATGTTTTCAATTATTTATGGTTTATGTTCGATTTGACAAAAACATGTTTTCTCAAAAACAACATACGTCAGAAGACTTATTTTTGTTTACGATTTATCTTGACCCTCTTATGGCCGTATACTGAAATGAATTTGTAATAGTTCGCTTCATCTGATAGACCTCAACATTTTATTGATTTGGGGTTTATACGTGGTCATATCAATTTAGACGCTGATACAGATTAAATATCGTTTCAATATTTAGCCGCTTAACTAGTGACGTATCAATCAATTATCTTGATTAACTTGTTTCGACATGATGCCTTCTTTCTCATTGGCTTTGAAAAAAATAGTGGAAGCTATCGTCTGATGATTATGCGTGTAAGAGGCCTAGTTTTAGTCCCTTTCTGATCCTTCTCATATAAGGAATTTTATTTGAATATTCGGTGGAGGAGGCGTCTAAAAAGGGTAAATATTCTTTTTACATGCGTCACTTTCTCCGTTGATCTTTTCTGCGCTCTTTTGCGCGTTCTGTCATGGCGGATGTTTAAGTGCCATGGTCGCTTCAATTGTTCCACGACTACATGTGGCCACTTGCTCGTTTGCCGAGATAACAATATTACATTTCTATACTTGTCTTTGGCAGTACTAACTAGAAGTAGAAATATGTATTAGTACAAGTCAGTGCAGAAGACATGTGACGTCAAAGTACACGTAAGCGAGTACGTTCGACATCTAGGATCGTTTATTGCTATAGTCAATGTATTATGTTGATTCACTCGTACCGCTGACCTAGAAAAAAAACCAGTCCCATCATTACTTCAAGAATTCGAGGTTGTACAACAATGATTAATCGAAGGAGTTTTGTTTAATTTTTATCACATTAGTAACTTTACCCTATAAAGTAAAGTTGGTAAAATTACAATTCAAAATAGTTATCAGATTGCTGACAATCATAATAGGATGAATATAAATATTTAATCTATATCTACATATTTAAATTGTTATTATGTAAAGATAAAAATTACCTTATAAAAGCTTTCGTCTTTCGTACAAAACGAAAGTAAAGGAGAAATTTAATTACCAAAGCATCTCCAAACGCGGATGTCTATCGTTCACCGACATTTCGCTTTTTCGTCAAATCCAGTGACAACAGGCTCGTTTTCAATCTTATAATTTACTAGCTATCGTCCGCGACTCCGTCCGCGTGAAATTAAAAAAAAAGTGAGCAGCCTATGTGTTCCACACTATCCTCTACATCTGTACCAAATTTCATCGATTTAGTTCAGGTTTAGGCTGCAAACTCTAACAAACATCCATCCATCTAAACTTTCGCATTTATGATTAGTACGATATAAAAGTTAATGAATTTATTTAATACGTCTGCGTTTTTAAATACGTCAGAATACAATCATAAAAACGTCATAGAAAGTCGAGCCTACCACACCTTAATACTCTCCATAACGAAAAAGAAAACAATATACACAAACCATTCTCTAATAAAAATTCTTCAATTACAAACAAACATTGTTGCAAATAATTTACAATTAATAAGTAAGGGATATATCACTTTAAACTGTCATAGTTTTTACAAATGTAATATTGGTTAGATACGAGTTTCTTACCACGATTGGGTATTATGTGTCGAAAGCTATAACAACCCAATCGTGGTAAGAAACATTATATAAGTAAGGGATGTTTACATAAAAATTAAAACAAAAAATATGCAAATTTAGTTAATTAAAAATCATAAAAATTGAATATAAACTATCTAGTAAACAATTCATAGAATTACGCGCACGTTAATTACATTAATTGTAAAGAAATAACGTTTCTTACGTCAAGTTGGAGAAACCCATAAAAGTAACAAACAAATATATGACTTTATTTTCAATAAAAAAACACATTTGAGGTTTCTATAACGTCTAAAATATATTTAATATTTTAACAAAATTTAAATAAAGATTAATGGAAACTTTTATTAATCAGAAATACGAGTAAACCCGCGCTTGACCGCAATGTTAAATGATGATGTGGTCAATACATAATATATGCTAAGTCATTATCAGTCATTGCATCTGTCTTTTCTTTTAAAATGTACACAGAATATATACAATTGTTGTGTCTGTTTGTAATACGGAACACAAAAATAATTATATTGTGTAGATGTTACATTTGCGATGCTAATAACGAAAATATAATAATATTTTTTTAAAAATTCCATCTGTCTTTTTGTTTTTGTTACAAATAACCAATTTTGATGGGACATTTTCTGGATAGTTGCTTATTTGGACGTAATTGTCTTTGCCTACTTTTATCCTGAGCTGAAAGTCGCGTGCAATCGCTAGTGTATCATAAAAGACGAAACGGCCTTCTTAAACGGAACTGTCAAGGCGCTAATTCCGTTTATAAGTTTTTATGGTCACCTCCATATGCGTAACAGAACTAAAACATTTTTACAAAACCCAAATACGGCCCATGTTATTTACTTACTTGCTTTGGAAAATTTCTTATACCTTTGAACATTTTGTATTAAGAATAATTAAGCAACTAAGTATAAATTGTTTTACAGTGGTAGTGCCCGCTTTAACATCTTAGCACGAATGGGCCGGCACGCCCAGTGTAATACCACGACCGCACAGAAGACAGGCGTGAAGTGGAAGTAATTCCGTGTTTCGTCTGATGAGTGTGGTGCCGGAGGTCTAATTTAAGTCCCTTACTCCTTACCACCCTTTTCTCATAAGGAGAGGATGGGAAGGGGAAGTGGATTTGACAGTGGAGGTGATGCATAGGAAGGGGAAATATCCTCTTTATGTGCGTCTCCTCCTCCGTCGGATAAGGGTAGGCCACGCATCTGCAATTGCGGATGTCTATGGGCAGCGGTCGCTTAGCCATTTAGGCGGATTCGGGTGGCAGCTTGCTCGTTTACCTTATGTTATAAAATAAATGTAATTAGTTATTTATTTTCTTAACGATAATTAGGCAGTGAAACTATTTATAGTACGAATTCGCTTTGCAATTAAATGCCATTTTTCGCTAAAGTATGACAGTTGTAAATAATTAGTAATGAACCAAATAAACTAATAGTTCTTTAACAAGGACAAAGTCATAAAATAGAAAATCAATGTAATTGGGAACTCTCCCAGTTCGATATCTCAGTAGTTGACAACATTGGTGTGATTATAACAATCTATTGAAGCCCGCTGTGTACGCTCAGTTTTGATTGACAGTTTTAACTGAAAGTCAGAAGCGGGCTTTATACGTACTTATCTACATCATACTAGTATAAATGCGAAAGTTTGGATGGATGTTTGTTAGAGTTTGTAGCCTAAACGTATAAACGGATTTTGATGAAATTTGG